TGTGTTTTATTTAGTCTTCAAATTTGTATAATGGTTATTTTAATAATTATAAATTTTTTGAATAAATTATAAAGATTTTTATGATAACAGTCCCGAAACACCATTAGAGGAGACACGGAGTCCTAAAACATTGGGTGAAATAAAAAAAAATATATTTAGTTTTGGAATATACACATTTTTATTATCATTCTTATACCAGTAATCTTTAGTTAACCAAGAAATTTATCCTATTTTTAGTAAAAACGTATCATCATTATTCTTTTAAAAGTTTGACTAATATTATAAGGTTAATATAATTCGTAAAATCAATAATATTTAATTTTTAAATTTTAATATAATATAAATAAAATTTGAACAGATAAATTTATAAACTTTTGTAATATTAAAATAATTTCATAAAATAATCATTATTTTTTCTATCATTTTTTTTAATTTCCCTCATTTAAACACACAAGTCATTTATCAAGATATTTTTCCTTACATATACCCGAAATATTAGATATAATTTTCCAAGTCTCATCATAATTAGCTAATTATTTTGGTTACTACATTTTAAAAAAAATTGTAACTAGTATCATAGGTTAATTAACATATTTTTTAGATTTTTAGCCGGCAAATTCGGCTTAACCAAGTTTTTATCCGAAAACTATAACTTTGATCTCTTGGGTAAACACTTTAATGTTAACGGATTTTCTCTTGCAATGTTATGAAGATTGAGCCGAATTAGTCGACATTTAGCCATTACCCAACTATAGTAAAACTAGTTACATTTCTAGTTGAAGATAAGGTAAGCTAGTATACGCGTAGCCTGGGCCCTTTGAAAGTTTGCCTGTTCTTGTGAATAATATTTTAAACTAATAAGAAATTCTTCAATACACATCTTTCATCCCCCCCCCTCCCTTTACAAAAAAAAATGTATTGTGTATATAACTATAAACAAAATAAATAGCCTAATAATGTCCTCCCCCCTTACTACTTGGCAAAATTTTGGCTATGTCTAAAGTAGTTTACCTTAACAACATGAATTTCTTTATTGAAATTAAGTAAATATTAAATTTTTCCCTTATAAAAATTGATAAAAATTTTTTAATGATTTTCATGGATAAGTTACAAATTAAATTATATATGTATATATATATGTAATTTAAGAAATAATATTAATAAATTATAATAACTTTTCAAAGTTTATAGCAAAAAAGATAGTGTCACAAAGGGTATTAATATTTATTTTTTAAAAGGGAAGAATTTATTATAAATATCAATAAGAAATATGCTTTTTTTTGGGCATTAGTTACCAAAATTTTTGTAAACACAGTATTTTCTTTTAAAGATAATTAATATACATTATACTAAATAGTATTCAATATATCCGTAAAATTATAGAAATTTTAATTTAACCATAATTTCTTAAATTTTATTAGTCGAATCTAAAAAAATCATTGACGAATATAATTAACTAATAAATAATAAAAAATATATTTGCAATTCATCACAAATCATGATAATTATAGTATAGGAAGGGATCTAAAATTATAAAATATTTATCTAATCAATAGTTAATTAATTAATTAAAGTGTGAATACCTTATTTAATTATATTATAATTTATTTATTTATAAGAAATTCCTATCAAAAGAACCAAGTTATTTGGTAAATATTTTATTTTTGGAAGTTTATAAATTCACTTTTTTTTCACCATATATGATAATAATTACTTATATTTATATTATTTAAATGACATCTTCAAAATAAAGCCCAGAAGAGACATTTAAAAATTGCCACTCTTAGATAATAGCTCCTTGAGAAAAAAGACATCGGAATATTTAATAATAAATATTATTAAAAAATATACTAGTCAACTCTTATTAAAATCACGAGGAATTATTTGATCAGCTTGGTCATATCCAACAATTTAACGGACAATTTATCAAGATTAATTTTTATTCTAAACTTTCTCACAAGAATTATTGTTAAAATCTTTATTAACTTTATTAAACAAATTACGTTTCATCAAATCAAAACTTTCATTTTTATATGGGATCTAAATATAAGTTAAAATACATGATGCACTTGAATTCCTGGTTTTATTAAAATTTCCTATAAAATTAAAAATACAATTTTATAATTATGTTCCCAAAAAGGAACCATATTTATTATCAAAAAACATAAATATAAAAATTCTTTAGTTTCGTTATAAAAAAAACTAGATTTTTTTAAAAATTTATCGGTTAAATGGCAAAATATGGCCTTGATTAGAAATCATCTCGTGAAGTAAATAAGAAGTTGCTTTTGTATTTGTTGATCTTTTTCATTTTTTCATTTTTGCTTGTATTAGTGGATTGATATTGATGTTAGAGTGGAATGAAGAGGCGCATGTTTAATCCCATATTAGTGATTTTCCTAGGGTCCAAAGTATGGTCATACCATCAGGTCTAAAACCACCTACTTGAGATAAATTTGTGGGTTTAGGATGGTTTGGAATATGAAGGGCTCTTAAATCTTGATTTTATAGTTTATTGCTATATGGCTGTGGCTCTTGACTAAATATACAATTAAGGCTGTGCCTACCATTAGAATCGATAAGTGATTTTTATTTGATACAAGCATGAGACCGTACGATGTCACAACTTAATGTAAAGCAATGGCTACTCTCAGTTGTTTGTCTGATAATGAAAAATATATTTATATATCCGTAAATTTTATCAATAGAAATTAATATTTTTATAAGTTAAACTTGGCTGAAAATTCGTTAACGGGGGGGATCTAGGGGCAATCCCTCCAGGCTTTCATAGATATGAACACCCTCAAAGAAAATTCATAGGTAAGCCACTGGTTAAGACTATTAAATAATATTTGAATCATTTTCATCGCACTGAATTTTTAAATAAAAATAACGTTTTGATTTTGATGATATAATATGTGCAGGATTTTGAATAAGATAAGCATCATTGAAACTTCTTACTTAAGTCAAATTTTTATCAAAAATTAATGAATTATTGTAGCTATATTATTATATTTAACATATTTATTTCTATAATTAGTTAGCAAAAGTCAACATAAAAAGAAAAAAAATATTACTGAAGGAATATGAAACAAATAATTAAAATTATTTATATATATTTCTTACGCCCCTATGTATACATCTTTTTTTATTATAACAATTATGACATTGGGAAATCTTGTATCTAAAAAAAATAACAATTAAAACAAACATGTGATTACTTTAAAACCTTTTTGCGATTACATTAAATTTTAAAACATAATTTGATGTCAAAAATATATATTTTGCGGTTCTATTTGGGAATTTAATAAAAATTATTTTATTAAAATAGTATTTATTAAGTATAATAAGATTTTAAAATAAATGATTTAATGATCAGCCATGTTTAGTGGAGTGTTTCGTGACAAATTTAATCCATCTTTGATTTATATATTTCGATTATGTGGTACAATTTTATGTAATAGGCGTTACAAAAGCTGATTTATTTAAATTTATATTTGTCAGATTTGATAGGTTATTTTAAAAAAAATGATTTAATTTCTTTTTTTCTTCTTTTCTTTTCGTCTTAATTTCATAACACAAAAAATTGCTATTTGAGTAGCGTCTGTCACTAGTATTGTTAAACGACTCGATATTAAAAAACCCGATATTTATTATGTCTCTTCCTAAATCTAGCTTCCATAATGACATCTAAGGAAGCTCTAACCACCATAGTGTTTTATGATTTGGATTAATCGTTTATATTTTCTTCAAGAATTATTGATTTGGTTAGGCCTACAAATTTTTCCTTATTAGTCCATTTTATCATTACCTAAAATGGTAATAAAATGTTATATTAGTTTTATGATTTTTTCAATGTAGGTTGCTTAGAATTATATTGCATTGTTTGGTGTTTTAAAACCATTATCAATTGAGGCAGTGTATGAATTAATTAACATTTTTAATCACTTGTAATTCTTTAGTCGCAAAATTATTTTATATTCGCAATCGAACATATTTAATATAGTAATAAATGTATAAATATTTTGTATTAAAAAATATTATCTTTAGTGTTTTGTATTGTTTTATCTTCATTATTTATATTCACAATAAATGACAAAATATGAAATTTATAATAATTGTTAAGAGTTTGCAAATTTTAATTTAAAAAGTATAATATATTAATATAAAACTCGTAAAAGGGAAGCTTCGTTTCCCATATGAAATTTTTTAATTGAGCCCACTGAGATTAATGATAGTGACAGCTCTGGTACATAAGGATTTCTTTACTAATTGTAACACTTAGGACCAAGAAGTCTCTAACAGTATATTGACCTAATTTTGTATGGCGTTAATATATTAGGACTTATTTTTATTAATTCTTTTTCATTGTATGACTTAATATTTACCTTACGGACTGATTTTATTATTTCTTTTACTTTACATAATATCAACTTAATAGTTTGTTAATACTTTGGTTATTTATTCTTATTTTATATTAACCCATTAGATAAAATTTTATAATAAATATTTAGAGGTAAAATTTGTTAGATAGAAGAGTTAAAAATTTTTAATAAATTAAATAAAAAACAAATTTTATATAACTTTTTTATTATTAATGCCTATTAAATCTTTATTCAATCGTTTACGGCTAGTTCAATCAGAAAGATAGAGTAGATGTTATTTAATGAGAAATATAATTTATTTGACATGAAATCAAACTCATTTGGTAAAATCTAGAAGAATATATCTTTTGCGGTACCATAATGTGTATTTTTCTTAGCATTTTTTTAAATTATTTTAAAATGCTATATTATAAAATAAATGCTTAAATTGGATTATTCCAAATAATATTTAAAATAAAAAATATATTATTGCTTTCCCCATACTATATATCATGTTTTTAAATCATTCTTTAATTAAAATTGATCTGAGAGGCAGAACATATATATAATAATCAACAACGATATTTTTTTTATTTTTTTTTTGTTACCTGTCGTATGTCATGAAATATAAACATATGAAATATGATGTATTAGGTTAAGACTATAAAACAAAATGGCTCCAATTACTCCAACATGGGACGATGTTTCATCCGATTCTCTGACTAAGGTATAATAAAATACAAATTTTAGTAATAGTAAGACTAATTTTTTTATCTATCTCAATCAGCTAATGGATAAGCACTGGTCTCCATATAAGATTTCTACATTTCATGAATTTGATATTAATATAGTTGAACATATCTACAAACATGAATTATTCAATAAGTATACATTTGTTTAGCATAATATTTAAAACTTCATTTCATTTGTAGACATAAATTTTTACTGAAAAAAATAATGTTACTGGAGTTTTCTCAATATCTCGAAAATTATCTCTGGCCAAATTTTACCAATGAAACAGTTATTATTATATATCCTTCTATATTAATAATGTTTCATTATACAGGATTCTATAGCATTTATAATGTCAATTGTATTAATGGTAAATGAAAAAATTAGACAAAGAGTATCAGCTCTTAAAGTAATTATATAAAATGATAATATTTATATTTGCTTACATGATTTTGATAACACATATTTCACATATTTTTTTTCTTTATTAAGAATAAGTATTTCTTACTCAATGTCCAATAATTTGATTTATTATTAAAAATTTTAAGGTTATATATATCAAGGATAAATATATTCTTACTAAAATCAATAACTATTATTTTATGTTAAAGTACTACCTACTGAGTGTTTTCCAAAAATATCAAACCAGTTTGCATTTTTATAAATTATGATTAATTTTCACAATACCTTTTTAAATGCATTATTTCTGTTTTATATAACTAGTTGCAAACAGGTGCGTACACAGGAATTTGGTCTGGGGGGGGGGGGGTGACAACAAATTTTTTAAACAAATATTATTGTTATTTAAAAATATCAAGCATAAATTTATTAGGGCTAATAACTATTTTTAATACACAATTTTAAATTACATGAATTATAAAAAAATTATATATATAAACCGGCACATAAAAAACTATAAAATAAATGTGAAATTAAAAAATATAAAGTGAATATAACCACCATATGAGTCACTTAAATGACCCAAAATAGAAATTTGAATTTTTAGAACCTTTAAAATTTATATATAAAGTATAAAAAAATTAAATGTTGGAAATATAAATATTAATACACAAAAAGTTTCTTAGGAATAAGTATTTTGTATTATATTTACAATGTAAAATCCAATCTTCGTTGGGAATGAGCTAATTTTTCAATTACTCATCCTTGCTTGGCATCAAATGCTTATAAATATTTAAAAGATCCAAACCATTCAATCCACTTTCAGAAGTTGTACTTCTTAGGTATGTTTTCAGGCCGTATTTTAATTTTTTAAATAAACCCAGGCCAGGCCTGAATTTAAAAAAAAAATTATCCAGGCCTGGCTATATATTTTAAAACCAAATATTTGAAATTAGCTATAATAATATAATTTATTTAAAAATATCCGGGCCGTGCCTGAAAAATTTAATTAAAAAAAAGCCGGGCCAGACCTGAAAATTTCTTTAAAAAAAACCCGGGCTGGGCCGAAAAAAGATTTTGAAACCAAAAATACAGGCTGTGCCCTGCATATTATATCTCTGCAGGGTTCTGTTATTCTTCATAAAAAAAGAGAATGTTCTCTCATTAGTTTACTAATGGGAAGAGTCTCTAATATATATATATATATATATAATCATTTTAATACATTGGGAATAAAATCTAAAATGTGTTTAAATTATACAAAGTATCCATAGCATTTTTTGGGACCATATCTTAGTTAATCTTTTAAACATAGTTATTAGTGAAGGCCATGGTCCTCAACAAAAAGATTGGTCTGGTCCTGGTTTAAGACCGATAGGACTGGACCGTTGACCTTCACTAATAGTTATTCAGGTAATAAGGCATCAAACAAATATTATTTTCTTTCTATCACCATCTGAAAAAGATTGGGAAGGCTTTTGTGGAAGTAATATCTGCAGATTGGTAAGTGCTGCATGATGAATTAAAAACCATTCATTTATTTGGATTATTGTTTTATAATACTTTTCTACTGATCTTATACTAATGTTTTGACGATGAGCTTGCCTTGCTGCAAATCTAGTGAGACAAATATTAAACACGTATAGCTCTCCTTTTGACTCAACAATAACATATAAAATATGAAATTCTTCATCAACGTTAGCCCTAATTTCCTTGAGTTCTAATAAAATGCTCTCTATTCTTATCTTCTTAATCAAGTCAATGCCATGTTTTTGAAAAGTATTACATAAAATAGTTGTATAATTAAATAATACATTCTCATGAGAAAAAAAAATTGAAACAAGTATAAAATCCAATAATTTTCTTGCTTCTGAGGAAATATTTCTTTCAGGCCATTGTGATATTTCAGTAATTTAATAATCGGTTCTTTTAACTCCATAAAAGCTGTTACTGCTTGATGGCGGAGACTTTATCTTGTTGGACAAGGAGCTTCACAAAAATTATTATTTGACTAGAAATATGAAAATGGTAGATAAATATTATGCCACTAGAAATTTGAAAATAATTGGTAAATATTACACCAATGAAAACTTGAATTTGAAATTAATTGATAAAACTTAATAAATGAGTGTGATAAATAAATGTAATTAAAAATATATTTAATATCAGATTAAATATTAACAAATATAAATTAATATAAACATTAATATTTTTGAAAAATATATCCGGAATCTTTGGCTTTAGGGGGGTGGGGGCGGATCCCCCCCCCCCACTGCGTACGCCAATGGTTGCAAATGATCAAATATGTTACACTATTAAGCTATTATTTTCATTTATTGCAACTAAATTTTTTGTTTAAGTCAGTACTAATGAAGATAAGGGTAAAATTAATAAAACAACAAATAATTAGCTCTTTAGAACTACCATGGATTAAATATTTTATATTTTCAGATTTATGATATTAATAATAAAAATTTATCATATTTGTATTCTAAATAATCTAAATATCTTTATTTTTAAAATTATATTTATTTAATATATTTTTTGGATGGATATACTTGAATTTATAGTTATATAATTGGTTAAATAAATATACAAAATGTGTCAAAGATTTACTTCAAAAATGCTGTATACATAGTGATTAATATATATATTATATATATATATACACTTGAAATGGGTTTATTTATTTGAGGTCAATTAAATTTACAAATGTTTTTGAATAATATTAAAAGGAAATCTTAAAATTCAAATTTTCGAAGTTGCTATATATATTTTTGTATAAATAAAATCAAATTATTTACTTGAACTACTGATTTGATATGATAATTATTCTTCATTTCCACCAGTATTCATCAAATCACTTATAATATTAACAAGTTTTATTGATTCTTACAAATACAAGTCTATATAAAATGTTTATAAACTATACTATTTCCATAATTAATCTGAATTAATATATTGTCTTTCCTAATATTTAATTATATTACCATCACGGAAACTCAAAAAGCGAAATTTAGTGTTTGTTCAAAAATGTCATTTTGTTTTTTGGTGAACAGGGTATAACTATCCGATACAAGTAAAAAAAAAAATTTTCCTTTATTTTTTGACAAACTTTAAATCTTTTCTGGATTAAGAATGATTATTTCTTACTCACTCTAGCTCCAATAAATTTTTTTATAATAAAATAACCTTCATTTACAATTCATATTTAATGAAAACTATTATTTTATTTAAAGCTAGTATTTTTCATTTTATTACATCTATATTTTTTATATTTAAAAAAAAAAGATTTTCAGCACAAATGAAGAAATTTTCCCTATATTTTTTGACAAACTTTTACATCTTTTACTGGAAGACAAGCTAAGTCATTTAGAGCAAACACAGTGCATAATATTTTTAAACCAAGCCTTCAATAGCCTAGTAATATATATAATATATATATAAATATCTATTTTTTTTTATCTTATCTTAATAAATATCAGAGATCTGCAGAGATACCATTTGCATGGCCTCTCCCTGATTTTTTTAAAATAAATATATTATATTTATTTTTGATTTTTATAGCTAATAAAAGCTATTCCAAATATTTGGTTTTAAAATATATGGCCCGCAGATATTTTTTTTTAAAAAAAAATTTACAGGCTCAGCCCAGGTTAATTAAAAAAAATTTAAATACAAGCCAGGGCTGGGCCAGCATATCTCTGATAAATATAAATATATCACATTTCAAAGATTACTACAACCATTAATTTATAGATAATAAATACATATATTTTTTTGCACATAAAAAACAATTATTAAGGAAATCGATTTTATTAGAAAAAGCGTCCAAAAATTGGTATCCTTAATCACGTGGGCATCTATTAACGAGGTAAACAAGTCTAATTTGTTAGTTCAATATGAAATAAATAGTATTTCATAAAAATATTAAGTTCTATTTCAAAAAATATATATATATTATATTTATTTTATTATCCAATGACTTATCCTGTCACATTTTTTTTTTGATATACAAAATTTTTTAACTAAAAGAATCGAAGGGAAGCAGAATTTTCCAAATTTGCCAAACTCAAAAAATTGTACAACGCTCTCATGAAAAAGGAAAACAAATTGCTCGGGCCGGGTGAGAGTCCATCTTTGCTTTACCGGAAATCTGTTTTTGACAGAACTTTCATGCATCGATTATTGCAGAATTTTGTTTGCAATGTTCTTGGAGGTTAATCATTCGTGATTCACTATTTTATTTAAATTATCCCTTTTTCAAAAGGTTGGTTATTATTTTTTTCCCCCGTATCTTCGTGAAAGTTTAAGGCTGATAGGACTAAGGAAAGAAACGATTTTCATTTTAAAATTTACCCTATCTTATCCGAATCAGTACCGTTAAACGGGTCGATTTAGCCGATTCTGAGTCGAGATTTTAGCCAAAAACAGCTGTTAGCCCTGCGATTTCGCTAACTGATTGCCCAAACCTTTCTGGCAACTATGAGCAAAATTTTCGAGCTTGCATAATGTTTTTGGCTAAAATATTGGGGGTTATTTCTTTTCTTAAGAATCGAAGCCGTTTATCAATACCCACTAGGAATCAATCGAATTGGCCCCAAAAAAAATTATAAAATATTTTTTAAACTAAAATTTGTCATGTTTGATCTCCCGCCCATATTTTTTTGCATCTAATTATTTTTTTAGATCGTTTCTTCAATTAATTAACATCTAATTTTGAGTGACCTCACATCTAATTTTGAGTGACCTCATAAATATTGTATATCGTTGGCTGAGTGTTATAGTGTTCTATATCCAAATTCTTGCAAAACTAAATCAATTTTATTTTATATTTTTCCGTATCTATAAAAATTGTTAAATATAATTTAACACTAATTCTTTATTTGTTTTTTTAATTACAGCGTGGCGTGATCTAATTTAAACGCAAAGAAATGTTTATTTATTTTTTTCTAAATGCTTCCCTAAAACTTAATGGATATTAAAAACTCTCGACAGACGAGATATCATATAATATAGATGAAAATTATTGTAAATACCACGACTTATTAAAAATGAGCATATGACTATATAATTATATACGTAGACTGACAATGCGTTCATTAAAAGTGTACATCAATTAAAAACAGCTGGGGATGACATAAAATAAATCAAATGTTACATTCTATTTTTTTTAAATTATTATTTTTATATATAAAAAAAATAAAATACATTTTCCATGTAGTAATAAATTTTAAAGAATATTTAAATTAACTCGCCATTTTATTCCGATCTTATCGCTAAAGTTAGTAATATCGGGTGATAACCGATATTTAAAAAAGGCTAAAATCCGATCCGATAAAAAAATATATGGGTACATCTTTAGTTTAATATCCTATTCACACACTTGCTTTAAGAAGAATGGAACAAATAAAATGAGTTTATATAAAAAAATATATTATGAAATGTATAATATTTTTTGTACGTTTCCTAGATACATTTACAAGCCTTTTCTAATTACATTACAAATGTTGGGGATTTAAATATAAAAAAATTCCTGGGAATTTTGAGTGGAATTATAATCTTTACCAACAAAATAATATTTTATTTTTTTTAAAAAAATTATTTCCTTTAGCCCTTAACCAATCATCAGCAACAACCCCTAGAAATTCTCGATCCACCCTTACCTCCTATAATCATCTCGTTCAGTATATCGAGCGATTTTTGGAACTTCTGATAGACCTGGAAGCCCACTTGCCCAACAGGAGATTCTTTAAGGTTCTATTGGATGCCTCACACGTGATACCTCATTGCACGCTATCGCTTAAAGAAATGCGAATGGGTATAGGGGATAACAAGGAAATTAAAGAGAAATTGAAGTTGTTTGGACAAGTATATATAATTATCTAATATGGCTCCTATTTTAATCTCTTGTAAAAATGAAAACTCGAAAGAAAAAAAAACCAATCAGAGTCTGTCTTACTTTTGATACGGCTAAACAGCTCTTAAATTAGGACACGCCATTTTGGTTTGTTTTAAATATTTGGAGGTCTCTTGTTTTTTTTAGGCTGTTTAGCTAGTAATAAAATCGAACCAGGACAGGACCCACGCGATAAACGTTCAGATAAAAAAATTACTGAATACGCGGAATTATTTTTATGAATGCTCAGATATTAATCTAAAACGCTTTGAACTGAAGCACTCAAAAATAGAATATAGCAAGGAATTCTTCTTGGACTTTGAGAAAAATATTTAAATTAAGTTTCTTTTTTTATATTTTCGAAATTGTGTGTTGAATCCTTAATTTTGAATTCAAAATTTGAATATCTCTTCTTCTTTTTTTTCTTACCAGAGTTTGGCAAAAAACAGAAAGATTTTTTAGTTGCTATTCTCATAAGGTTGTGTCCTAAATATCCATAAAAATTAGAGTCACTAACTTTTAAATTTTAATAAATAAGCTATTTTAAATATTAAAAATACACGTCCAAAACATAATTTTATTAAAGTTTTAAAAATTTTAAAACTTCAAAATTTTACGAAAGTTTTAAAACTTTTCTAAATTTTTTAAAAAGAGTAAAAAAAAAAAATTTAAGATTTGTTCAAACTCTGCTCTTTTACTTCTTTTAATTAATATTAAAACCTACCTTTCATAAAATTTTTCCTTCCTTACAATATATAAATGTAATAGTTATTGGTGATCCTGAAATTTTACCACGATTTTGAGATAAACGATATAACGGGTGAGGCCTTGACGGAAGATGAAATGACAGATTTGCATTATGACCAAATAACTCATTTACAAGTTTAATACATATTATTGATTTTAACTTTATATAAAAAAAATTTTTGCCATTTGTAAGATGAGATTTGTCGTTTTAAATTATTTATTAAAAGTTTGTAGTTTAATATAATCTCAATTAAAAACTATTAAATCTAAAAAGATACCTTAAGTCAGTCAGAGGTCTTCCTAAATAAAGGAACTTTAATGATAATTAAGCTTCGAGTTCAAATTAATATGACGCATTGGTATAGTTTTATCATCATAAAGTTCCTACACAACTTTACCCATTAATATACACATTTATTTATATATATATATTATTTTTTTTTACAGAAAATTTGCTTTAAAAATTTCAAATCTCACCCTACTCTTCTAAAATTCGCTTTGGCGAACGTCTGTAAAGTCGATACCAGGCCCGCCATGCTACCCTTTTTTGCCGCCTTAAACGCCGAAACGTTAAAATCCCTCTGTGTCGATCTGAATCTCATTGACGATTCCGAGAAATCGAACGAATTATCTAAGGAATTCCTTCTAGAATTGATCGTACGTTCTAATAATATATATCAGTCTACGAACTTGAAAATTATCATTCATATTCTATTTCTGCTCTTTATAAAAAAAAATTTGCGAAATTATTTGTAGATATTCAAGCACGAAAGAAGGGATTCTCAACTTCAGGCGATTAACGATATGCCCCTGTTTCCGACGGAAAAGGTTTTGTGGGATCAGAACTTGGTACCTGACGATTATTACACTGGAGAAGGTTGTTATAATTAAAGCCCAATGATAAAATGCGCAAATTTATTAAAACCGCGTATTGTAAAATTTATATGCCACCATGTTGAATAGTAACGTTAATCTATCTTTATAAATATATATATTTATTTTTGTGTCATTCAAGATTGCCTGGCTCTACCTAAATTGAACCTTCAATTCCTCACCCTGCACGATTACCTATTGCGTAATTTCCGGTTATTTCAACTGGAAACCACTTATGAAATCAGGCAAGATGTACAGGACTCCCTATTCAGGCTCAAACCATGGTAAGTAAATGATTAAATTACGTATCGTCGGTTGATATTATAGTGTTTCTATATTCTTATATATATCCACGAGGATAATCTTTATAATATAATTGAAAATAGTCCTTCATTTGCATTATCATTTCATTGTTTATCCCCTTATTTAAGAAATGTATAGTTGAACTTTTACTTTTATTTAGTTCTATACCTTTTTTGATGGGAGTGTCAAAAATTATTATTTTTTTGTATCTTTAATCATTATGCCACGCCTTACATTTTGAAATTTTTACTCTACCCAACTTCCCGATTATGACGCCATTTTTTCAAGTTATTTTTTTTCTTGTTTATTTCCCCTTTTTGCCAAAACAAAATTGATATACTTACTTTTATAATTTTTAATATCAGGATATCGGAGAACCCGCAGTTAAACAAGGTTATATTCGGAGGGTGGGCACGAATGGCGGCCCCAATACACTCGTTCAACGTTATCGATATTGGGAAACCGGAAATTGGGGGTCAAGCCACCCGAATGAGACCTAGCAAGGTTCGGGCCGATGTCACGGTTAACCTAAACGTGAGAGACGACGTCATGGAAGAATGGCAATGTAAAATAAGTCAATTATTTATGGATATTATTTTTAAGGAATTAAACGAATAATGAAAGAGAGATATAAATAGTAAAGAAATGGACTAAGGTTCTGAACTAGTTTTTTTTTGAAACTTCACATTCCACGAGACAAAAATATTAAAACAAAACAATTTGTTCGCCCCAGTTATAACCCGTTTTCCATTCCTGATGAGAATTGACTGATTCTTTAAATTTATGAATTTTGTACGATTAATTTTAGAAGGTTAACAAAGTTTAGCAACCAGAACATTAAAAGCTCAGAATCACGCCAAATTTAAGAACCTCCCTGAAACATCCTTGCTAAGGTGGTTTTAGGAACCGAAATCTTGAACTCTCGAAACTGCACCAAATAATCGCGTATTTCAAGATTTTAGAAACAGACCTATTTTTTTTATTGCCCAGTTTCCAAACTATAGTTTAATGTAAAAAAATTAAAAGAATGTATTTTCGTTTTAAATAACCTAGCCCTCTGAGAGTTACTTTTTTTTTTAACTCTGGGGTATATTTTGTAAAATAATTTGTTATTTTTTAAAATAAAAAATGACGATGAATTATGCCAATCCCTAATTTATAGCTATTCGCAAATACGATGTATGCTTCCTCATTGCCCTCGAACCCAATAAACCATACGGTTATAAATACAAATTCAAGGATTTCATACCCAAATCGTTCAATAAGCCTAAACCTCAAGCCAAGAAAAAGGATGAGAACGAAGATGAGGAAACGGAAAATGACGAGGACCTGCCCAGGGTCGAACCTTTTCCCCTCGAATTTGGCGTAAAATATGTGAGGGGATGCGAGGTTGAAGGAATGTTGGATGCCGACGGGAAAGTCATCGAAGAATGTAAATATAATATTGATACATATAAAAAATTGTTTATTTTATTTAAAATTGGGATCAATTTAATGAAATGCGATTTTATTCGTATCGTTAAAAGTTACTTCTGAAAAGTAACTCGTTATTTGGTTATTTCTAATATCAACTTACTTATCTTTAATTCAAGCTGGTCCTACCCAGAGAGAAAAAATATCGCTCCCCAAGGGTCCAACTCGCACCTGGAGAGTTTACCTGGACGCCAATCAATATTCCATCGATTTTCAGAACCTCGCTGATCTATCGTCCGATGATTCGATATTAGAAAATCCCGCGAGAATATCTAGCAGTGAGATATCCTACGACGAAACGTGCTTCCACGTTTTAATGAGGCGCAAACCGAAGGAAAACAATTTCAAGGCGGTCTTGGCTACGATTAGGCGAATCATGAACATAGCCCAGGGTAGACCAGCTTCTTTGGAAGGCGAAAATACGGCCAAGGATGGCCTTTTGGTTAATAAGAATGAAGAATCGAACGCGAACCAATTTCCTGGCAAAGAGGAGAAAGAAAATGGAAAAGATGGCGCGATCTCAGGAGGGAAAGGCCATAACGAGGTCAAAATAGCCGGAAGTTATAGTACCAACACGTGCGAGGAAGCCGTTCTGCCCCAATGGCTCAATGACACCATTTTGGGCTTTGGTGAACCCGATTCCGCTAGATACCCCAAAGTTGTGAATATTTTCAGTAAAATCATTTTATCATGACACAATGATCACCTATAATCTTTGAAATCTAAGAACAATATTTTAGTATTACTTTTTGAAATAATACCATAATATTTGTTTTTTTATATAAAAACGATAAGAAAAAAAATACCCAAATTTGATTGGTTTAGACGAAGATGGTTATTTGGACATGCGCGATACCTTTTTGACCAGGCAACATTTGATTAGCTGCTTTCCCGATAATATCGTGGAGTTTGATAACAATATAGAAGATATTTCTGCTGACGCAACTACTGGCATGCATAATATATTCTATAAGTAAAAAATATTTCTTATAATATAATTCCTTCAAATGATAGGAAATTTAACATTTTCATCTTTGTAATACGTATATTAGACTAAAGTTCCCTGGTATCGATAATTCGTCATCTCCAATCGAAGATTCTCTGACTCCGAAGGTGATTAGGGTTAAAGAGTACATGATAGAAGGGTTTGGACCGCCTACCTCTAACCTCAAGATACCTAGAAATGAATTACCATTTACGCCAACCCAGGTGGAAGCTATCAAGTTAATAACTTGTTATTTTACTCTGTTATAGCTTTTTGGTAAATTATTTGCTCAATATTTTTTTATCTGAATTATTGGCGTTTACTTAAATATGTTTGGATACCATATGTTGATGCGTTCCATCTAACTTCACTAGGACCCTCTGAGTAGTAAAATTGTAGATATATGTTCCCTCCTACACCTTTCACCTCTAAATCCTTAGTGTATAAGATTAAATATACATGATATGGAGAAACACGACTACGAATTGAAATATTTACTAAATCAGAATTTATACTAATAGCTCCTCATTTCAATACGCTTTACGCCTTATCAATTATCGCGCATTTATAAACCGTGCATTTAAAATTCTTTATGTATAATACACATGATGAGACAATGTAGAAATTTGATTTTCTTATATTTAATTGTTTTAAAAAAAAAACTTTTTCTTGTATTTGAATAAAAAATATTAAATTGTTCCATCTTTAAAATACTAATAAAAATATCACATAAATAAGGTGTTAACAAAAATATATTCATGCTCTATGCTCAAAAGTCTAGGTCACATAAAATTCCAGATTTTTTTTTAAAGTAGGCAACTTTTATATTTTTTTAGGCAGAATCTTATAGGAAAAAAAATCAATGTCCTCTAAAATTTTGATATTTTTGAAAAACCAGGTCCGGCCTTCTGCCCGGCCTAACTATGGTCGTGGGCCCTCCTGGAACTGGTAAAACCGACCTTGCCGTTCAAATCGCTAGACTAGCCTACAACCGATGCTCGAATTACACGGGCCACCTTCAGGAGCGAATCCTGATTATAACTCACAGCAATCAAGCCCTCAACCAGATTTTCCTCAAGATAAGTCAATTCAACACTGACCCTTGCCATTTATTGCGGCTGGGCCATGGTGGAACCGTTTTGGACGCGGATTACGGCAAATACGGGCGGGTAGATTGCGTGCTCAAGGAAAGGATGCGGATGCTCAAACAGGTCGCCCAGCTTCGTGATAGCCTGTTGGAGGTGAAGGCGGAAAGTATTTTCCACGGAAATTACGGGAATATTTCTAACGTCGCGAACGATTTGGGAATGGAAAATAATATTAACGAAGTGGAAATGGACGAAACGGCGGAAGATGACTTCGTGAACGATTCAATGATAAAAGGCAATAATGATGAGTTAGAAATCGATAAAACGACCGAAAATAACGTTGTGAAGGATTTGGGGATAGGAGGTGATAATATTGAGGTAGAAATGGATACAACGGCGGAAAATGAGGCGACGAATAATGGTAATATTTCTAACGTCGCGAAAGATTTGGAGACGGAAAGTAATGTAGCTGACGCGAAAATCGTCGAAACGGCGGAAAATGAAGGTGAAGCGATGGACAATGATCCTCAAGAAGTTGTGACCGTAATCGAAGGTTAATTATTTAGTTTGTCATCATAATTACACTTTGCGTGAATGAATTTTTCGTGAGCAACCCACAAACCTTAAAAAAAAAATTTTTTTTTTATTGTATAACAAAATCGGATTATAGAACCCGGCCCGACGGATCTTCCGAAATTAGAAGAAGAAGGTCTGGCGGAATCGGTTGAAATAAGTGTACCGGTTTCCAATCATAATCTTACCAGGGATAACATAGTGCTCGAATCTTACCGCCACTTTAAACTACCCCCATTTTCCGACGCGATCCGCAGCCAGCACCGAGGCAGTTACGAGATAAATTATTACAAAAGCCCCGACCTCAAATTTACTTGCGAGACGGCCATGTATTTTTACCGCTACGAAATTTCTAGTCGGTGGGACGCCTTCAGAAAAGGGATGCTACAATACAAAGTATTCATTTTTTTTTCGCAACATATGGTGAGCCCAATTTCGTCGCCAATAATATAGGGCATCGTTTAGAATCTACGAAAAATTAACGATAATTATTTTAAAACGACACATTATAGCAAAGCTTATCCGATCAGCCGTCAAATGGTGACGACAAAGTCGATGATCTGAATAGACCCTTGGTCGAAAAGCTAATGGCCGAATTCCCTTTCACGACATTCGTAGCTCAAACTATGGAGGAAATCAAAAACGACCCCAAGGCCCATAATTTTGTCTTGGGTGATGATAGTTGCCAAGGTAAACCTGAACCTACCATATGACAAATTCCTATTTATTTATTTCTGCCTTGGCATTTGGCGTAACTTACATTCTTGATTTCACTGAATTTTTTTTTAAATGCATATATTTAAATATCTTTTAAAACTGGACTTGGAACCGTCAATTTTTTTTTCCAAACCTGAGAGATCGTTAAATGCTGAGTCTAGATAACCCGGTCGAAGTTGGGATCTTGCTTAAGAAAATTATAAATCTATAATAGTAAAAGCAGCTCGGATTCTATTAAAAATATTGAACAAAATTATTAAAATTAAACATGCTAAAACAATATCTTTTTTTTTACAAGATAATGAATTATTCCTGACCTCTGGAACCTTCGAAGAGAACATGAAGATTGCCGAAAGCTATTTCAAGCATATAAAACGTATATTTGATCGTTTAGAGGTTTTCCTAATTTTCTTTTTTTCACACAATTTTACTGTGAAGGTTTTAATTATGTTAGGGAAAGATGCTCTTTTTCTATATGTTGAAACCCTAAGTTATGTGGTAAAATAACTCAAAATATGTGTTGTATTCAAAATCAAATATTCAAATCGGAATTGTTGTGTGAGGGATTTAAGATCTTGAAACCCTCGCGATAATTTTCATAATTTCGAATAAATGCCTATTAAGTGGTCAAGTAATAAAATGTGATATCGGATTCGTATTCCCACATTATTTTCGCTTAACTGGGGACCGACATACCTGTCCTCTAGAAGAACTCTAGAACCCCTTATCGGAATTTAGTTGCCTGAATCGTCCTTTCTTTACCCAATATTTGTCGGTAGATTCAGTTCAATATTCATCACTTTCTCCTCCATATTTTTTTTTCCTAAGGATAATACAGATATTGTTTATCTTGTGGTGATTATGGGTAATTACTTATACGCGTGTTTTTGTTTCTGATATATTCCAAAGGAATTCCGGGCTTTCGAAATCTTGAGGAACGGGCCTGAACGGGTCAATTACCTACTCATTCGTTCTGCCAGGATCATAGCCATGACTTGCACTCACGCGGCCCTAAGACGGGCCGATCTAGTAAAAGCCGGCTTCAAATACGACACCCTTATCATAGAAGAAGCGGGCCAGATCTTGGAGATCGAAGGATTCATACCGCTCTTGTTACAAGTAAGATTGTCGATTTAAAAATATAGTTTTTTTTTAAGACGCTTAGTTAATGTTGGCGGCAACTGATCGATTTTAAAAACGGTTAACCCAATATTTCCCGCCAAAAAAATATTACGCGAGTCTGGGAGATTTTGCTCACGATAGCGGAAAGGTTTCGAGCGTCTTTAAACAAAATCACACTTGACTTGCGTATCGCTATTTTAAGCTAAAAATCTTGATTTAATAATTGGCTAAATCGAACACTGTGCACAGTGTCCTTTTAGAATACTAATTAGGGTCCAAGAGTAGTCGCCTTGATATTGCAACAAATGAACGCTAAGCTGACTAAAAACTTCTTATATAATTATGTATTATAGATTTTTTTTGGAACCTAGTATCTTTCTGCATTTATTTTTTGTTAATATTAGCTCACATTCAATCTTTAACTTTTATTGAGCCGGAGAAATTTATTACCATTGTTCACTGTAGGAAACTAATTTTTTATATCGTTGATATACCTTAGTTAAACTTTTTCTCCATGATAATTCTATACATTGAATAATGGAGATATAGATAATCCATCAAAAATACTATATATATATATTTTTTTTAAATTTAATAAATGTGTAATATTCAGAACACGAAAGATAACGTCAATCGTCTTAAACGTTGCATCATGATTGGAGATCACAACCAATTACCGCCCGTTATAAAAAATCTGGCCTTCAAAAATTTCGCTAACATGGAACAGTCCATGTTCGCCCGCTTGATACGTTTGGGTGTTCCGGCCTATACCTTGGACGCTCAAGGCAGAGCTAAACCCTCGTAAAAAAGGCCTTATAAATTAATATGATATTTGATCTTTATAAAATTTAAAAATATCGTTCACCCCTCTTAAATTTTGGATAGTCTCCATATCTTTTATAGAGGTCCAGTCTCCTAATCAATAATTAAGTTACCACTCCTCAAACTGTTCTAATATGCATGATTTAAATCTAAAAAAAACTATTATTCCTAAAGCCTATGTGACCTTTATAGTTGGAGATATACTAAGCTAGGTAATCTGCCCCACACGTACAAAGATCCTCTGTATCTCAAGGCTAATCCGGGCTTCGCCTTCGATTATCAATTCATCGACGTGCAGGACTTTAACGGGGTTGGAGAATCTCAACCCACTCCCCATTATTTTCAGGTTATATATATATATATATTAACATAAATAAAACACATTTTGAACAAATTCGTAAGTTCAATCTATTATTTTGCACTCGATCCTTTAGAACTTAGCCGAAGCAGAGTACTCTGTATCCATCTTTACTTACATGAGGTTACTGGGATACCCAGCCGAATCCATAAGTATATTGACGACTTACAATGGCCAAAAATACCTGATCAGGGATATTGTCGAGAAAAGGTGTGCTCAAAATCCGTTGTTAGGCATTCCAAACAAGGTTAAAAATTATTAAATTCTTGAGAAAAAAAGAAAGTTTTTCTTTACGATGGCAACTGCCTATTTCGATTCCAACCCTAAGTTTTTTGCTCGGACCATAAAATTGCACAGCTTTTGAAACATAGGGTGTCGAAGTTTAGCTTTGTTTAAATATTTTCATTATTTAATCATTATAAAAATGATTAAATCATTACCCCTTTTAACTAATAAAATTTAGGCGTATAAAAAAATTTTTTTTTAAAATATTTACTTCAAATATTATTAATCTATTTTTGTAATTCAGATCACGACCGTGGACAAATATCAAGGTCAGCAAAATGACTACGTTATCTTGAGCCTCGTGAGAACCAAATCCATCGGTCATTTTCGTGACGTGAGACGTCTGATAGTAGCCGTTTCCAGGGCCAGACTTGGTCTATATATATTGGGCAGGGTATCCCTGTTCTCGCGATGCCTTGAACTGACGCCCGTCTTTAAAAGGGTATTATATATGATATAACATTTTAAAAAACGCGAATATTTATGGAGGGAAAACAGTCAGGTTAGTTTGCAGATGATTTTTTAAAAATATTATTCATAAGGTTAACTAGCAATTCTTAAAAGATCTAGCAATCGATCCTATTCATGTAAAATAAATATTATTATTGCCTTGTGGTCGACTAAAAAAATCCCTTGTGCTAACTTGACTTGCCAAAAATGTGATCATCAATTAAAATTAACTTATTATTTTTTTTAAAGTGGATGATATGGAATACAAAGGTCGATAAAATTATGAAGAAGATACATTTCTTTCATATAACACAAATCCCATTTTCCAATATAATCATTGTAATTTTCATTTTAGCTAACCTCCCTACCTGTTGCCCTGCATTTATTTCCTTGGGAAAGATACCCTGGCAACAGAAGCCTATTAGAGCCGATCAAGCATATCAATCCTTTGGTTATAAGAGACATGACACAGATGGCCCATTTCGTATACAAGTTTTACCACGAAATCAATGCCTCTAATGCTTCACTTGTAAGTTTAAAGTTTTCTTGTATAATATTTTGATACTCGAAAAGGGAACTAGAAGATATATAATAAAAAAATCCAGAATTTTTTAGTAGAATGTTAATCAGAGTGCGTTTCCTGTTTGAAAATATTTATTTTCCCTTCTGGTGATTATAATTTATATAACATTCCTTAGAGCCCATTTTGTTCCCATTCCATTTCCTCTTTCATTCCTTCTTAAAATTTAGCGCACCCTCTTATTTAATAATATAACCATAACTTTTTGTTATACATAGTCCACGCCAGGTCTTTATAAGATATATCAGTTTTTTCTCATCTCACAGATTATACTACCTTCAAACCTGTACCATTTTCTTGTTTTGGATCGAAATCAAGTCGATTATTTACGGCGCCTAAAAACTTGCTATTCAATATTAAAATATTACATATTAGGCTAGTATTAGGGCATATCTCTCACCCATTAGGATTGGTACTCTTAGTTCTTCTAGGAATGGAGTCAGCTGTTTTAGTAAACTTAAAAGGGGGAGTACATCATTGGATTATTTTTATGGCATCCCCTTCCTTTATGCTCTACCATCTTTTCCAATTAAAAATTATGAACGATTAGTTTAGTTGGAAAAACAAAATTGGGTGGTTTTTTTTCCCTTCATTATCTTCTTATTTGTGATTCGAGTTTTAGTCATCTTTTATTTGAAACGACTATTAAATTGTAAAGAGGAAACACACAATTATATCCTCTGAAAAAATATTTACGTGCACTTCTTTTATTGGAAATCATAAAATACATGACATTATAATGTTTTTATTTTCTAACACCTAGAAATCTGATGCCGAGCAAAATCCTATCGAAGAAAAACCAGAGATAGTTGAGCACCCCGATGTGGCTAACGATGATAAGTCGGATGCCAACTTGCCTATCGAATACATTCTGGAAGAAAAATTGATCGAAAATACTCTGATACCGTGTCAGGAGATAGATAATCCTTCCGAGACCGAATTGCTGCAAGAGAGCCTAAAAGATGGCAAAATCGAGCAACATTATTACAAATCTACGCTGCAAGCCGAAATAGGCTTAGATGAAAGTAGCAGTGAAGAGGAGTAAAATATTGAATGGGGGTGAATAGAAGAAAAATAATCATTTATTTCTTATATTCGTTATAATTGATAATATATTATTTATTGTTTATGATTATTAATACCTTTCTTGCTCCCCTGAAATTATTGTATAGTTTTATATTTTTGTATTATAACAACTATTGTTTAAAATATAATGTGTCTTATTTATTCTAGTATTCTATCATAATTTTTTTAATGAGGAAAAAAAAATATTTTCAGTTTAATACCGAATGAAATGATATTAATCGAATGCAAATCGATCAAATATAAACTTGCAGTCGCATCAATGTAGATCAGACATGTGTCACATATCTGATTCATATTTTACAAAATCCTTGTATTCCTAGTTATATAAAAATGGCTCGAAAAATTTATGACTTAATTCTCTTTAAATTATATAGGATAGGATTGGAATATATTTTTCGACAAAATAAGATTTTTTTGGATTTAAGATGATTGTGCTATTTTCCAAATATTAACGCATTTTTAAACTCTAATTTTGCCGCCAAACATATTCCAGCATGTGTTAAGAAAACATAATTTAATATTCAGGAAATTTTAAGTTAAAATTTATTCAGAGATTTCTCGGCAAAAATTGTGTGAAATTAATAAGATAGGTACTAGAGCCCTCAGTCCAACCTGGTTCGAAGAAAATTTTGAGTTTTTTTATCTAGATTCGACGTCACTGTCCGAATTTCTTTTCAGCGGTCGACCATCGAGTCTGGCCCAATAGAAATGCCAAAATTACCTCCCCAAAAGCCCTCGACCGTCCGAATATTTTTTTTAAAATTAAATTATCGTAGAAAGAATTTTTAAAATGCATGAAACTTTAAGATTTTTATATTCAATTTTCATTTTTTAAAATTTACAATATTTATTATGCAAAAATGACCGTTTGGGATATTGGCTTTAACTTTCAAACTTTATTTCTATTTGAATTCCTATTTCAATTTTTCAATATTAAAAAGCAACAAAAATTTAAATTTTTCTGAATAAATCAATATAAATATTTTTTATATTCATATTTAAAAAAAATCCATTATAAAAGATAATATAAATCAATTTCTATTTTTTATTTTATTTTTTTTTCCCAATTTTATGCGTGCCCATTTCTAGCGATCGCAAAATGGCTTCATTTGAGCCGATTTTTAAAACAAGGTTTAACTCAATATTTTAGCCCAAGAAATATTATTCTACGCCTCGAGATTGGTCAAACCTTTGAGGTAGTGTTGTGTAACAAACCTCTAATTCAAGATTTTAGCCAGAAAAATATTGCTTAAGCCTCGAGATTATCCTTCTACAAACAAAATCTTCAGGCTTGCTTAATTATTATTCTAGATGAAATATTTGAGTTAGCCTTTTTCACAAATCGGCTCACGATAGAGCCGTTTAACAACACTACTTCGAGGTATATATGAACAAATTCTTCACAGGGTTTGCCTAATATTTTTCCGGATGAAATTAACCGAGTTGGCCCTTTTTAAAAAATCGGTATCTATTTCACTTCACTATACCCCTTTCCCGTTATTTCTAGAGTAATGGCTAGCTATATTTCCTTAGAATCTTGTCTTTAGTCAGTGTGCAAATAAAATTATTTTTTAAATAAAAACAATAATTATTAACGACTATAAAAAGGATGATTGATGAATTAATTTTGATTTTAGGAAAAAATTGATAAATAGAAAAACATCGAAATTTTTTATTTAGAAGAATAGACGCTACCTTGCGGATAAGATTGTATTTATTTTAAGTTTTTTAAAAAATTAAAATATTTACATTTTTTTTTAGGGCAATCAGATAGTGTAATACAAAATTATTACTAATTTAAAAATTTATAGAAGGTAACTAACCGAAAAAGATCACATAAAAGATGTTATACTTTATTTTTAAATTATCAACATATTTTATTAAAACAAATTATATTTTGAGGAAATATCAAAATCTTAACTTAAAAATCGTCTGATTTATAATATGTTTTATATTACAATTATTTATATATAACAATTATTTTTTTTTACAAAAAAGAAAAAAATTTTAAGGTTTAAACCAATGACATATAAGGTTAAACCAATGACATATGAGACTGAAGATTCATTCATTAAAAGCAAATCAGCTGGAACCGCCATTTTGGTAACACGCATAGTAATTATTCTCGTGTTAAAAACTACTATTAAATTGATAACTTGCTTCCTTATTATCTCCATGATCCGGTAATTCTTTAATAAAGTTTGCGTCAGATATAGGGAATAAATTAGGCTCTCGTTTAAAATTTTAATAATGATTAGTGTAACCAAGATGGCGTCTCCAGCTGATTTGCATTTGATGTTACACTTTTAATGAATGAATCGTCAGTCTAGTTATTATATATGTCATTGGATTTAAACATATTTTTTTTAACAAAATTTATATTCAAATAACCTTTAAAATAACAAACTTTATCATTGTAAATTAAAAGAAAATGACCTTTAATATTAAAAAATATTAATTTAATTTTTTAATATTTTAACTTAATAAAATTTTTCATCTAAGTGTTTTTATATATATAATATCAGAGTTGTTAAAAGATACTTTTTAAATGGATCTAGATACAGATACATCGTCTAAAATAATATCTAGATACCGATATTTTAATCAAAAATCTATCTAGATACAGATACCACATTTTTATATCTAGATACTTGTATCTAGATCCTTTAACAACTCTGTATAATATAAAGGATCATTCTTAAGAATTCCATCTTCATGCTTTATCTAGATTGACGATTCATTTATAATAATGCTTTATAAAGCGACCTTGAATGTAAAAAAGCTGGGGACTACGTGACACGCCATTTTGGTAACCTACATATAGGTTCAAGCATACTTTAAATTATTTTAAATTTGGTCTCAAATACATATTTTCTTGTGCAAATAGCCTTGGAATCATTGTGTGGTAGGTAGATCATTATTTTTTCTTGCTTACATTAACATTTCTGTGAATAAGAAATTCAAATATCAAAAAAAAAAATTAATTTAACAATATCTCTAAAAATTATTTATATATTTTTTTGTAAAAAAAATATCGTTAGTAATTTATACATATAAAATAGTTTTATCAAAATAAAAATGATAATATAAAATAAGTTTTTAAGAATAATCTACGCAATGTAATAAAATAATATAAAACGAGCTCAAATCATTATTCAACATTCTCCCTCTTTTAAATAAGTTTTCCCATAATTTCATGTAAGTGGTCACTGAGAGAGAGTCGTCCGAAATGGATTTTCGTTTTGGCTGTTTCTATATCGCATTTGATTTTATAAGTTGGCTTGTCTAAAACGTTAATCGTACATTGGGTTTGTCCAAATCGTAATTTTGGTTATCGTACTACGTTATTAATATTATTATCAATTTACAAAATTTTACAAAATTGTTACCATCATCAATTTAGTTGGGAATAATTAGGAATGATAATTGATCAAATTGGATATTTAGAATAATTGAATTATCGGAATAATATACTCGAAATTTCTGAATATAATAGAATTGATTGAATAATAGAAATCGGAATGATAAATCAATAAGATTATTATATAATATTTTTAACGTCTAATTTATTTTTCGTGTTTTACTTAGTGTCAATATTTGTTTTATATATCAAGTTACAATAATCCTTTTAAATAAGCAGGTTTGTGTTTAATAAGTGTTGGTCTAGAAATTGGTATTACTTTGTCTTTATTTGTGGTATTTTTATTTATGTCCTCACTTCCCTCTTTAAAAGAAATGTTAGAGTTAGTATCGTAATTTAAAAATGTATTATAACAATCTTTTTTTCCTTAATTGGTCTAAATGTCTGCTTTGTCTCCTTAATATACCTTTATCTGTCTTATGTCACTTTCTTTGTGTGTGACCATGCCTTTCCACCATTTGTCATCACCTTGTATTTTGTACCAAACAAAATCTCCTACATTAAAGGTACTATTACGTGACAATGTTATGTTAACTCTATCCTCTTTTTCTTCCAACGGTTTTAATAAGTCACATTTAATTCTAATGTCGCGATTGAACATTCTTTTAGAAGGTGCAACTCCTGTTATATCATTTTGTGTGCATCTATAATTAAATAAAAATTTATCAAATGCAGTATCTAAGTCAATCCTTATAGTTTTTTTTATATGCGTCTAAAATGTTCTCACCATACGTTCCACCTGGCCATTAGACTGCAAATGGTATTCGGATATAAGTACATGTTTAATACCTTAATCATTGTAAAATTTTTCAAAATCATTACTTGTAAAGTTGGTACCATTATCAGTGATTATAGTTTCATGTATTCCGAATAGCGAAATGGCTTTAAAAATTTCTTTTAATGTGATTTTTAGTTGTAATATTTTTGACAGGAACAATGATTGGAAATTTGCTATAGGCATTTCATTTTTTTGTGAAAGAAAAGGACCCACATAATCTATGTGAATTCTTTCATATGGTTTGGTTACCGAAACCCATGATTTTTGTATCTTTCAAATGATATATATATATATTACAGTCGTCACAACTTTTTACTTCCATCTCTATGTTATTATTCATACTAGGCCAACACATGTGATCTTTGACTGAGGATTTGATTTTTCCTGCTCCCAGATGACCTTCATATAATGCCTGCAGTACGTTCTTTCTCGTAGTAGACGGAATTATAGTCTTAATTATACCTAATTCCAATTCAATGTTTTTATAAATCTTGTTCTTTATAGGCTCATTGTTTTTAAAATATATCGATGATTTGTTTTATTCCATAATCTTTGTAAGTTTCGTCACATATTTTATTAAAGTTAATAGGTATATTCCCAAAGTCATTTGTAATTGTGATATTTTCAAAAACTTCATCGTTATTTTTTGTGATAATCTCGAGAGACTATCAGGAACAACATTGAATTTTCCGGCTTTAACTTTTTGTAGAAATCGTAACACCCTAATGCTATATTCCTTTGATGTTTTGAGGATATGGTACTGTTGTCCTTAGGTCCTTTGGTAAAAATATGGACAAGTGGTTTATGGTCATGGATTATTGTAAATTTAGGTTCATATTAAGTATTACTGGAAACTCTAAATAGCAAACATAATAGCGAGAGCCTCACGCTCGATATCGG